GTCAGTCTTTTCAGAGAAACAGTTACTTCCCAAAGGGCAAACAGATATGGTACTCATTTTAATGAACCTTTCATGACTGTCCATCATTGTGTGTTATTTGAGTCATAGATGCAGATAGCCTGTAATTTACAATGCCACAAATAAAAGAGAGCAAACATATTTGAATTCGCATTGGTGAATAACTCACTAGCACATTACTAGGGATTTTGCAGACGGTGATTAGCAATCTATTGGAAGCTAATTATTTATTATATTTGAAGTATACTGTAAAATCCAAGAGACACCTAGAAATAAACAGTAATGATTTATAAGTTGTATCTATAGTGTTTCCCAATTGTTTTTGTAATTATTATGGCCTCCTTTCCTGGACACAGCTCTTCTGCTTCCTGACAATGCATTATTTACCTTTGTCTTATCTCTAGAGCTGGCAAAGTTATACCACGAAGCAGGTTCCCTTAAGCTGCCAGTGAGCAGCAGTGATGGCAGGCCCACTTCTGTAAAGACAAAATATTCCAGGAAGTCTTTCCCCTCACAAAAACTTGATCACTTCTCAACACTGCTTGACTATCTGTAAAAGTATCTTAGGAATTCTGCTTAATCAGCTGTGCTGGGCTGTTTTCTCAGCTGGTGAAATACCGAGTCTTCTCAAAACCAGAGTGAATTGCTGCAACAAATACAATGAAGTAAGGCCAAGTAAAAAACACTCAGATATTACAGAGGTTGTGCCAAAACCTTAGAGGTGTTATACTGCAGGAGAATCACACTCGCTAGTACAACTAAAGAAATGAAGTGGACAGTCTAGCTAAGCTCACCACCACTGCTGTGCTTCTTGGAGCCAGATATGCCAGTTAGGAAATCTGAGGCAAAGACACTTTGATGTCAGTGCTGACAGTGAAAGAACAAAGAATTATGATGAAAAGCAGATGAACTCTATTAAAAAATTTAAATTAAATTAAATTTTATGCAAACAGTTTGAAAGTCGTAACAGGATTAGTCAGATAGGTTATCAAGGAATCATTCACAGAAAAAGTGATTTAGCTAGGTCTAAGCAGAGTTATGAAGTTCATGTAAGGGGCTCTGAGGTCAAAAGAGTTGCCCTGTATTTTTTTTAATTGAAATGAAATCCCTGTACAGCAATAAATACAATACTTAACAAAGCCAGGACATTTTGAAACTAAGAGAATGTCTACATGTCTAAAGCATAGATTCTGAATCTTGCAAATATTTAATATATTAGAATATGAATATGATCAATATAAATATAATGAAGGTATAATTAAACTTCACATAAAAGAAATGTGATGACATTTTAAGAACTAGTAATTTTAAAAGGGAATTATAACATGTATTTTATTTAAAAAGTATGTTTACATAAATTTTTAACTATGATGGTCAGGAAAAAGTTTCATTTAATTAAAAAAATTCTGTATGCCTTTGGAAATGAAGATAATTATTTAAGTGTGTTTAGAAGCTTAGTGTTAATCAATCAAATATGCATGAATATTACTTCATAATAATAATAATAATAAAACATAGAATAGTTTGGGTTGGAGGGGACCTTAAAGATCATCTAGTTGCAAACCCCCTGCCATGGGCAGGGACACCTCTCACTGGACCACGTTGCTCAGAGCACCATCCAACCTGGCCTTGAACACTCCCAGGCTTGGGGCATCCACGACTTCTCTGGGCAACCTGGTCCCGTGCCTCACCACTCTCATAGTAATGATTTATTTTCTAACATCTAATCTAAGCCAACACTCTTTCATTTGGAAGCCATTCCCCCTTGTCCTATCATTACAGTTCCTGATGAAGAGTCCCTTCTCCAGCTTCCTTGCAGGCCCCTTTCAGACACTGGGAGGCTGCTACGAGGTCTCCACACAACCTCCCCTTCTCCAGGCGGAACACCCATAACTTTCTCAGCCTGTCTTCATAGGAGAGGGGCTCTAGTCCCCTTACCAACTTTATGGTCTCCTCTGGACTTGCTCCTAGAGTTTCCTGTCCTTTTTATGTTGGGCACACCAGAACTGTGAGCAGTATTCCGGGTGGGGTCTCCTGAGAGCAGACTAGAGGGAGAGAATCCCCTCCCTTGACCTGCTGGCTGCTGTCCTTCTGATGCAGCTCAGCAGCTGTTCTATTGGCGTTCTGGGCCACAAGCACACACTGCTTTCTCGTGCTGAGTTTTTCATCAACCATCCCTCCCAAGTTCTTCTCCACAGGGCTGCTCCCAATCACTTCTATATCCAGCCTGTAGATGTGCCTAGGATTGAGCCAGCCCAGCTGCTGCTGGCTTTGTTGAACTTCATGAGGTTTGCGTGGGCCCACCTCTCAAGCCTATCAAGGTCTCTGTGGATGGCATTCCTCCACTCCAGCATGGTGATCACCCCACAGATCTCGGTGTCATCAGAGAACTTGCACTCTATCCCACTGTCCATGTTGCTGACACAGGTCTTGAACAGTACTGGCCCCACCATCGACCCCTGAGGGACACCACTTGTCACTGGTCTCCATGTGGACAATGAGCCACTGACTGCATAAACTCAGAGATAATAACAGACCAGTATACTCTCTACCAAAATAAAAACTGTAACAAAACAAAAAGAAAGGTATTCCCTCAGTGGCCACTTAAAAGTGTTCTCACATTAAACTTACAATCAGATCAGATCATAAAATTGTGATCCTAAATTCTCTAGCTGATTCAATAAAAGAATTTAAAATGGGAATACTTTATAATTTGCTCAGATTTAGACTGTAACTGTTACATGAATGAGTCATATCACATTCTGATTCTTGTCTAGGGTGATACTAATAAAAGATTTTTCTGTCAGATCCAATATGGAAGAATGTAGGATATGTGTTTTCTAATTAAATAAATAACTTATTTATTTTTTTTAAACCAGAGTGGACTTATTTTTGTTTCAAATTCAACATACTCTTGGTCATCTGTTGCTCATAACGTTGATTTTCATTCCTCTTGGCATCATACCTGCCAAAGTCAGTTCATATTAATGTCAGAGAGGATGTATAAGGAATAAAAAATATTTCTGCATTTAAGCTACTGAGGCTCAGGAGGAAGGAATACAATAATAAATCAGAAGATAAATTTTAATTTCTCTAAATTCATTTAGAGAAATCCCACCTTGTCCCTGCCACATGGGTAGCCTTTTTTTTCTGTGTCTCTGAAGAGTTAATGAATTAGTAGGAGGGAACAGTAGGTATTTATTTAGAAGGCAAATATACCATTAAGTAGCTTGCGATCCAGCAACCAGTATGTGAGTATACAAAGACTGGGAATGGCTGTGATGGACTGTGACAAACAGCACAGTGACACAGTGACACGCTGATTGATCTGCAAGCCCAGTGGAGAAGCCAGTCAATGCCACGAAAAATTCACCAAGTGTTTCTTTCTGCCAGTTTGGCTGCCATGCCATTGATGCAAGCTAATGTTGTCAGCCAGCAGCATCTGCCCCCTCCACAGACTCAGCAGTGACACCCATGGGTAAGATAGCAGGTTTTTTTTATGCAGCTGATGACAAACCCAGTCAGTGCTTTCTCAGCAATCAGCAGTAGTTTCTCAGGAATCTTGCAAAGACAAAGAAATGTGTGCTCACACAGCAGTACGCTCTCGCTCTTGCAAATTATACATGCATTGACCTGGTTTACTTTCAGATGTAACTGTCAGGCTTCCGTTCCTCAATCACTGATTTATGCAGAGGAGTTCACACAACACAGTTTCTATATGTAATAGTAATAATCACCTTTTCTCTCTGCTTGTCTGTGTGCACCAACATACAGAAAAATTTCCTGAAATTCAGCTATTTATTTTCTCAATATGAAATGAAACCTGGTACATAATAACATAGGAAATGAAACTATACATAATGCTGTAGGAGGGAAGACAGCAGAAAACCAAGACAAAAAAATATAGCAGCAATAAGCAACATGCCTACCTTAATTAAACTCCTGCAATAAATCCTTGAATTTTCTTCCTTAGGGGGATTGATTAATTTAGGAACTATTCCTGATTTCAAGAAATCCACCAGAAAAAACTCTGACTGCCAGAACAGAATCCAAGCCATTGTTTTCCCACCTGTTTTCTTTCATACTATCTAAACCTGAACTTAATCATATATACTAGAAGAACAAAATGTGAGATTGTATGATTTTCAAGCAGATGAGAAAACCACACCTCTCTAACAACAAGATGCTTTAGAGGAAGAGCACAAAAATCAATCTTGCAGCAGCCTTTCCAAGATAAAACAACAGGAGTTTTCAGTCCCAGAATCTATTCCCCTGGTGACTGGACTCCTGACATTTCCATAAAAACTCACAGAGTCATCAAGTTAAGAACAAAAACCCGATGGTAGGTATGAAATTCAAGATGACCTATTTATCCACAGTTACATTTTTCTCAGTCCCTCACTGACTAAAACGCTCAAGCATGTAGCTTAAACTTAAACACCTGACCAATACTTTCAGAATTGGATATTATAATTTTCCCCCTAAAGGTCAAATCCTTGAATTGAACAGAGCCTCAGAGGATAAAAGTACAAAAATCTACTTCCCAAATTCTCTAGCTGAAATAAAGGGCAATAAAGTATTTCTTGGCCTGTTAGATGTGTTACAGCAGATAACTTTCAAGATCAGTCTCATTTGATGTGGAAAAGGTCGAACAAATAGAATGTGTTTAAACAAAAATTATGGCCTTTCAAGACTCCTACTGAGGTCACAAAACATTCTTCAGCAGATCAAAAGGTTCTGTTCAGTAACTGGTTGAGGAGGAAAGGCGTGAATATAGATGCACCTGTTGGAAAACCACTATCACCACCTCATCACATGCTGAGAGTCAAGATACTACCATTGCACTGCTGGGCCTTCAAGAGTGTTTGAAGAGCCTTCAGAAACAAGAAATACCAGTATTGCCTCTGCTTTCAGAATAGAATGGAACAGTTGTTAAATTGCAAAACTATATCACAGAATAAGCTAGAATTCGTAGAGCTTACCTTCCTACGATGGGATGGCACAATAAAATACGTTTCAATATTATGCTTCTTCAAGAAACTATTTCTTTCATGACCATATCCTGGTTCTACCTCATAGTCCCCATTTAGGCACTCTAAGGTGGTCTTTGTAATGTGAACTTTCCTGCAGAGAAAAATCAGACGTCGTTTAAAGTAAAGATTCAATATGAGCAAGTTGCTACTGAAATAATGTTCCTGTGCAGAAGTTCATAAAGAGGTCAAGTTATGTGCAAAACCACTTCTGGCGTTAAAAAAAAAAAAAAAAAAGTTTTGTCTTTTCAGCCAAATAGAACAAAGAAAGATTTCTATTACATGTATTTTCTAAACTTCAGCAAACTGAACAGAAGGATAACTATTGACTGTCCAAACATTTGCAGATTTCGCTGATTTGTCGAAAGCCTGCACATCATCTTCTATATTGTATGGTTTTCTGTTTTCTTAAGTATTTACCTCACTGGTTGCTTGGAAAAACATCCTGCTGTTTGAAACTTTTGACTACAAATCTCTTTTGAGTATAAAGCAGAAGCTTCTTTTTTTGTTTCACTTTACATCTCTGACTTGTATCATTTACTCATTTGGTTTGGTAGGCGACTTTCTAATTCACTTTGTTTTGGCAGCACAGCCATCTTTGACACCATTTGTGAGTTTTCTTATCCTGAAATGTCTTCAAATTTCCTCCCAAAAGACTCCTTATATTTGAAATGTCTCCAGAGAAGACATCCAAAAAGATTTTACTGCTTTCCTCTAATAAACACGTCCTCAAATTTTTTGTTCACTGGAAAACCTTAAGGTAATGAACGTGTAAAATACACTGCCAAAATTATCTAGAGCAGATACACACAACAAACAGATATTCACTCATTGCTACCACAAAAATCAAGAGGTTCCATTGTCCTCCTGTTCAGCAAGTCATGATCTTGTAAAAACTCAACAGAGAATGGTGGGTCCCAGTCCAAATGTGACCTACACACGCAGAGGGCCACCCATGCACCTTCCTGAAGGTGCACTGTGTGCATTTAAATTGTGTCCAAGACTGTACAAATACTTAAAATTCCAGGGCATGCCCCAGGGGTTGCCTGCAAGTTGGAGTGCTACTGCATCATTTGCAAACACATCTTTAATATTTGAGTTTTCTTTTCTATAGCACACTACTAGTGCTGGAAATCTTGCCATGCAAAAGGAGTAAGGCAGCCCCCCCGCCCCTCTGCAAGTGCAGAGGGGAAAGAGTAAACATTTCCTGGAATAGTTAAAGGGTTTTACTTTTGTAATAGGAAATTAATGCAAGTTTAGCATTCCTACATTCCATTGCATCTTTCCTACTCTTTATATCTGGCAGCTTCTAATAAGAATTTTGTTTGGAAATGCTTTCCTTCCAATTTAACCTATTGCTTATGTAAATATCTAGATCATTTGGAGAATTCCACAGGATAAATCACATAATACATTGATTGCTCTTGCCAAACACAACCCTTTTTATCAACAGCAATTACATGCAAATGGCTCAAAGCAGGAAATAAATTCTTCACCCCTATAGTTTTCTATTTCTTTTTCTATGGATTTTTTTTTTGTTTTGTTTTTTTTTTGGTTTTTTTTTGGGACTTACCCAGGCAGTCCTCCAGCTTCCATTACGTTAGCTAAAGTCACATCATTGGACCAGACATCATATTGCCATTTTCGGAGCCCCAGGACCCCACAAAGCACCCTGCCTGTATGCAATCCAACTCTCATGTTGAGATCAACCTCTGTGGCTTCTGCGACAGATCTGGAATGGAGAGCATCAGAATATCAATGTTTAGACAATTACACTGCTCTTGATTTTCTTTTTCTCTCCTTCTCCCAAAGTTAGCACATATATACATATATATAAATATGACTCAATAGACAGGATCTTTCAAAATCACAAGCAGTATATTCAGATACTGTACTCTTCACCAGTTTCAAAGCCATAGTAGTAATTCCAACAAAATAACTTTCCTATATTTTAATAGATTCTTATCTTTTAATTACTGTTGAACCAAAATCTCAGTATTTCTAAATTTCTTGATCATTTCTGTAAGAAAAGAGGTATGAAGAGAAGATAGTTAGGAAAGCCAATGTATAAGGAATTATTGCCAATCTACTATGTTCTAATTGTTTAAATTATCCAGTTACACAAATACAGGACAAAGAAAATTATGAAAGCAATAAATCAGTACAAGAACAGCAGACGAAGAGTGATTATAAACACTAACATCTTTCCAAAGCTCCTGCAAGAGTGGCACAGAAAGCATTTGTAACTATGGTCTTGTACCTGTAAATTAAATCTAACGCTCAGAGATTTTCCTAGTCTAGCTGGAAAAGGAGGACCTAATCAGCAAATTCATTATAAAAAGCATTTTTATTTTTGCTGCCACAATAAGGAAGCATTCTTCATTTCCATAAATGATTGGCATACTATAACTTGCACCCTGGACGGAAAAAGCTACCTTGAGGCTAATAGTCTTATACATTACATGTGGAGATAGCACTGTAGATAGATCTTTTCAGCTCTTTCTGTTACAAAAACACCTGGCATTCCACAGTTCAGTTGCAGTCCAAAGAGAGATAATATCAGTGAATAAAGGAAACTCTCTAATCAGTGGAAGACTTGATTTTCAGTAGTTTTTCTTAATTTGAATTTTCCAATGCATTTAATAGAAGACCTAAACTGAGACTCTAGCTATTCATTGATCAATTTTTTTTTTTTTTTTTTTTTTTTTTTTTTTTTTGAAGTATCATCCAACTATGCTGGATTTTGGCAAAGATGTCTTCAACTATTTCAGGAGTTGTACTTGTTTAAATACAATTAATAGAAAGGTCATCTTATGTCAAGATGTGGGATGTGCAGCACAAGACACCTGGCCTCAATTTAAATAGGAAAGCACTGGATCTATGAAGTGCTGAAGAATATACCATGTCAGCCATCACTAATGTAAGCAACATAGAGATCTCTTTTGTCCCCACAGGGAATCTGGGCATAACACATTTTTCAGTCATATTTTATGCAACAGCCCAGAAAGGCTTATGCACAGCTTTCTGAAAGATTAAATATTTCCTTGTCCTATTTCTACTCATTGCAAGTCAGCTTTCCTTCATCCAATATCTGTTCCCAGTCAAGCCTCAAACACAACTCCAAGGAGGTCTAAAAGGAATCTAGTGTTACAGGGCTTTGTGTGCACACTGTCCCTCTGACACAGCTTTGAGGAAATGAATGGATACCTCAACCTTTGTATCTTTACCTGTGCATGTGTGTTGTGACATCAACAGATTGACCTTACACCAAGACCACACGCTGCAAGCCAAAGCCCTGCAGGATTATTACACCTTGCTTGTCTCTTCTCCTGCATAACTAAGTACCTATGTAATTATCTTAACTAACGAACCTGCAAGTGCGTGAATTTCTCTGTTTACAAATGAGTGGGGGCTTTTAGTTGGGTCCCCTCCTTTCTCCACTGGTTAAAAAACTGTATAAAACCTCAGACTAAGCGTAAGCAGGAAGTCAGTGAAATTCAGACTCTGATAAAATCCACTCCAGACCTTTAACATTGCTTTGTCCTAACTGGCTTTAGTGAGTGGGGGAAATTAAATCTGCTTTTAGAAATTTGAATAGAATAACAAAAAGTACATGAAAAGAAATTAGAAGAGAAATACAGCGTAGCTGACCATATTCCTTGTTAAATAAGCTGAACTGTATAATGCATCAATGAACTATAAAACAGAATCTGAAAACACTTCATGTTTTGAGCAAAAGATTTCCAGAAGTAGTCACTTAGTAAAAAATCTAAACTGAAAATGCATTTCTACATCTTCCCCAGAAGCTACAATATGTTTCAGGGGTGCTTTCACCATTATTAAGTTTGAGTAGGAAAAAAGCAGTTCATTAAATTTTTTAATTTATCTTGAAGACCTGTGTGACCTTTATGCAGAAAAATTTCCATGAATATACCTCACTAAACCATAAAAAAATTGAGGAATATTAAGTAATATAAAAAGAACAGATTTCACATAAAAATTCAGAGCAGTACCATGATCACATTCCCAAACAACACCAACGTTTCCAAAAAAAAAAAAAAATCACAAAAATGTCCAGTGAAGCATTTTAAATTATAAATACATTTCTGAAAAAATACCAGCACTACACAAACAAGCCATGATTAGGAAAAAGAAGTTTCTCAAATAAATTATTCATTATGACTTTTTTTTCCCATAGATTCATATACAATATACTCAAAAGTTTTCCAAATGTGAACACAAAAGCAGGCCCAGAAAAAATGGAAATCAAAAACCAGTTTCTTTTTAAACCAGATGCATATAGAGTCTATGTGAGTGACTAATAAGATAACCATCTACCCTGACAGCTCAAGTATCCTACAAGGCCTTTAAATTTTAGCTCTCCTCTTAGCTACAAATATTTCATGTGTTGCTACAAGCCATCATAATAATTTAAATCACCTGCAGAACAGCTCCAGACCTATGCTCCTGAGCATTTGAAGGGGGAGGAAAAAAAAAGCCCTGGATCCCATTTCTTATAATTATTTAGGGCTTTTCTTTAGGACTAAAAATACCTGAATAGAAATAGATGTTTCCTGGCTGAAGGCATAGATATGATTTTTGGTTCAACTGCATCCACTTTCCCCGAGTGTTGCTCAGCTGCAGCAAGGTAGCAGAGCACTAGGAGAGAGAGTCTGGGCTGGGAAGGGCTGCTAGAGGTACAAGCTGACTAAACTTTCACCGCTGGTAGACAGCTTCCTCCATTGCTAAAAAGGCAGCTGCTGGTTCTCCCAGAACTCAAGGTCAGTTTACTCCTGCCAGTTCAAAATTTCCCAGGCCTGGAACCTTCGGAGGACGTGGGGAAAAGCTTCAACGGTGTTGACATCAGGAAAGTTAATGCTTCTGTCTCCTTCCTCATACAAAATATTACACAGGAAAACTTGATATTTCCATTTGACTTCCTCAAACTGGCAACTGTCGCTTCTCTCCCCTTCCCCTTGGTCGTCTGATGACCAAACCCATAAAAAGACGACAATTGGAGCATCAATTGCCCTACTGCCCACTGCAAAAAAAGCAGCAGCACAATGTGCAGGTGCAAAATAAGCCCAATTTCCATATGTGAGGTCTTACATGACAACTGGTGGAGTCATTTGCATGGGATAAAAACACCTACATGACACAGAAAAGCCGACAAACCCCACTGGGATGCCCAGCTCTCAAGAAGCAAGGGGTTCACAGACACTTTTCCTTCAGACCTCTTCAAAGAGAGCCACATGCAGCAGGAACATTCAATCAGAAGGTCAGGTGAGACTTATTCTAAAGTAGTCCTCCCCCTTCTCTCCGCTGTAACACATGCAGGTTAAACTGAAGCAGTCAGCAGCAGCTGCTGAAATCTACAGATGTGCTCCTATCATACCATCAGCTGCTACTGCACACATAGCCAGTGATGCACTAGAGGTGCAACCTAGTAAGACATCAAGGGAAGAAGTATCATGAAAATTTACTGCCTATGTGACAATGGGAATGATTACTGGATCCCATTAGAGTTTTGAGAAGCTTATGAATGTTAACCCTAGGATTTTGACCCAGTCCAAAACCTAGTATTTATACCCTGTTCACTCAGATTCTCTCTTTATTTCCAACTGGAAACATTATGGATCAGTTTTTTCCCCTCTAGTGTTATTGAAGGCATTTAAATTACTCCCTCATTTCATCATGTTTCATCTCCTAAGAGGAATTTTTGGACTGAACCAAAGAATTGTTTAATATAATTTATATCCCTTGATGAAGTGCTCTGTAAGGAAAGATAAACTATTGTTAAGAATGTGTAAATCTGCCCCCATAACACTAGCTTAAACAAGGATTCTAGAAAGTTTTTGGGGGAGAGAGGGAGGGAAGAGCTTGGTTAGCTGGGCAAAGCTTTTCTGCGCAGCAATTAGCTATCAAATATATCTATTTCCACTGTAAAACACAGTAGCACAATAAGATTGGAACCTTCAAATGTGGCAGCCAATTTAAGTAACGTGAAGAGAGTACTTGGCCTAACACACTGTTCATAGCCAAGGTTAGGACAACATCTGCCATGTTAGACCAAGAGACATATTAGAGGTTCTAATGTTAGATTTTAATTTTAATTTAAAATTTAAAATTTTAATTACATTACTGGCAAAAACCTGACAGTTGAAATTCATGTAGTGAAAGCAACATTGTTAGTATGAAACATTTAACTCCACTTACTGCCTTGGTGGTTAAAGTGATTCTAAAGTGGAAAAGACACCTGGTCAGCACTGTAGCACTGACACAATGGCAGCAGAAACTCTTTTGGAATAGAAACAGAAGGTAATACTATCTGTTTTGTTGGGGTTTTGAGAAAAAAGAAGGTCATCCCATAATGATTCTGGTCTGACCTTAACTGTGCCCTTGAAGAAAACACTGAAGAAAGCAGATGAACTCGTGAAAACTTTACGGTTTTTTTTTAATACTTTGAAAATTCTGTTCTCAGATGATACTCACGGTACTATATTGCAGGATACTTTAATAACAGCACAGGAAGTGAATGGAATGTGTCAATTTATATGAACACATTATAACATTCAACCCAGTCCAATCACAGAACCACCAACCAGGCACCAGAAGTTTCTGTTCTTTGATTTTACAGAAAAAAAAAAACCACATCTTGTTGGTAACGTATCTTGTAACACTTCTTAAGGCCAAGGTTTTCTTATAAATGGAGAATCCACACACTGCTGAAAGAATACACATATTCTTTGGGGATTTTATAGTATCATGGACTATCCTAAATTATAGATTCATAGATTACAAAGTATTTTTTCCGATTCTACGGTGTTTACAAACATGCTGAACTTGCGTTGAACGAGGGAGAATATGGATTCATTTACACAACTCTTCACACTATAACATATAACATGTTTAGCAAATGAAAAGGACAAGCTTCTGACAGTGAAATAGGAATGCAACATTTTATTTTCTATTGGTTTGATTATTAGGCTTTGTTTATCAGTTCCATGAGATGCAAAGTCACTTTTTTTTTTAGTTCCCCCTTTCACCCAGAGATGGATACCAGCTGGTAGTCTTCTCAATATTATAATAAAAACACATGGATTGATCTAGAATTGAGAAATAGCCTTTGATTGTTTTAAGTACTTCTTCCTTTTTTGTATGCTTTAAAGCCCTCTGCAAAGAAATATCAGTGAATCCAGGAAAGCTTAAAAGTTTAAGCAGGTAAAATGTTCCAAATAAAAATTGCATAATTTGAATTCATAAGCTTTATGATTATTCTTTCATTATTTAATTTTTTTTTTTTTTAATTCAGATTACACTATGTTCTGTTCACCTTCACAGAGAAGGCAGGTCCTCTCTGTGTACAATGGAAAAACTTGAGGATTAACTGAGGGGAAGGACCTTGAGCCAGCTCCACATTCCCAGCAGTCCAGATGACAAAAGAGAACAAGAATACCTGGCTAATTGCAACAGTGCTCAAACACTATCCAGTACAGAACAGGCTAAGGCCCCTGATGTGAAACACCTGTCCAAGCTCATTTCTAACATAACAGTACTGTGCTATTTACAGCATTTAATTATGCACAGATATTCATAGAGGTGCACACTCCCTCCTATGGCCTCCCTGTAAAGCACATACACACGCTCCCACAAACACAGAGCAATACAGTAGTGAAGAAAATTGCCACCTTTATCCTTTCCCTCCTATGCAATGAAATAGATCTCCAGATCTCATTAAAAGCTTATTCACAGTTCTCTAATATTCATATTTTTTCCTTAGCAAAATGATGATCAACGCAGAGCTCTTAAGCATAAAAAAATTCTTCTGAGCAGCAAAGCAAATTTCACGTTACATTTCCGAAAAGCAGAATAAATGAAAGGTTTAAACTTGGCATACAAAAAGGAGTTATCAGCGAGCTAAGTTTTTGAGACTACAAACACATATACGACAGGCATACATCAGGACTGGTTTCAGGTTTACATACTGGTGTGCAAAATCAGCTGTCTTTATCACTGCAAACCAAGAAATTTGACTCCTCTCTTTGTGGCAGTTAGCAGTAGGTATATTTTGTTATTTCCCAGCATCTTCCTGCCACCTGATCAGTATGTTTATGTGCCTTTACATACTCACCCTATTGCACTTACCCCTTAGAGTCATCAAATGGAGTGGAAAATCAATGTCTAGAATGACCCTTCCTAAAAGCAGCATCCTGTGACCTGAATGCAAGAGTGTGAACTGCCAGGTCGGCAGTGCTAGCAGAAACGCATGTTTTTCTACCAACACACTTCCTGAACACCATGTAGAAGCACTCCTGTCTGCATCCACCGTGCGTGGTACTCACGTGATGGTGTCAATCATATCCAGTCCCATTTCGACACAGCAGTGGGCGTGGTCTGTTTTGGGCTGGGTCAGTCCTGACACACAGTAGTAACAGTCCCCTAGGATTTTTATTCTTCTGCAATGATTTTCCTTTCATAAAAACAGAATGGGAAAAGTTTTACTGTTCATATAAATATTCCCACATTAGCAGGGCAATCATTCAGGGAACGTTTTTGTGGTCAAACAGAGTAATTGGCAGTTCATGAAATCTGCATTCCCCGTATGCGACAGCTGACATACACACGGTTTTTAATTCATTTATAAATAGGCACTGGGAATCAGCCCTGCACTGTTCAACACACATGGGAGTTAACACTGCTTAAAATCATAGTTCTGAACAAATACTATTGCCTTGCCCGTGTGCTGGGTCAGTATGAACTTGAGATTTGCAGTGAGACTTCATTTCTCTACGAACCCAAACCAAAGGACAGAAACCAAACCACTACTGAATATCAGGAAATGTTTGCACTCTGGGAAGCATTTGTTTCAAATTCAGTTCAAATTTAACATGAAAGACTATGCATTTATCTGTAAAGGTACACACATTTGTACATTACCAATTCATAAATCACAATTAACAATACAGTATGATTAGTACGACAGACTTGCAGATCAGAAGCTACAGTCAGTTTGCATTACCATCAAACTTATCTCATGTTTGCATGAAATTTAATTTCTCCAGCCAAAGATATCTGGCTAAATCTCTCCCATTTTAAAAAACCAATCATGACGTGTGATAATTGCCACATCAGTTGGAGCAGGGAGTTCATTTCTAAACAGAGAGCACATAACAAAATGCCTTTAAGAAAGCAGTAACTTTAACTAGTAAATTGTGAGGAGACCTGAGGATATCTTTTGTAACTAGACTATGGCAACTTCTACCCATTTAGATTTTGGCACAGAAAAATAAGTAAACTTAATAAATGAATCCCACTTACATAGCTGGGACTATGCCAGTAAGCACCTGCAAAATTAACTATTATGAATATGATGGGAGGGGACTAAAAGAAATTTGATGCCTTCCCCAGCAGTGTTCTATACAGGCTTGACTTCAGCAACACAGAAAGGGGGGAAAGAAAGAGTAGTGGTGATGATGGAATTTAAAATTTCTGGAAAAAAACCCCCACCTAATCATAGAATCCTCCTTGTTCAGTTTCTCATACAGGCACATATTCTCATCCACTTTCCTGCCTACAAGAATTAAAGCCTTTCTGAGTGGACAGCACTCTCCACGTCGTTACCCACACTCCAGCTCAGCAGCAGTGCTTGTTGCCTCCAGTGATCTTTGTCTCTCTGACGTGTCACCACGCGTACCAGCATTTGGAGCTCGTCCACACTCTTCCAGCAGCAGGCATTCCCACTGCTCTCTGTTGTGATGGTACTCAGTATTGAACAAATACTATAGAATGAGAATTACCTCTGTTTACACATGGGAGAAGTCATGCTACCACTGTTTGGGACAATTGGTTTGTCTATTTGTTTTATAAATTAAGCAACAAATCCAGATATCAAATCAAAGAAGAGATCTGTCTTTATGAGTATGCTTAAGTAGTAGAAAAGGCTGTTCCAGTAGTGTCTACTTAACATTTCTTCTGCTGTACAGTAGGATTTTAAATATAACCCTAATTATCATTGCTAATACGTATTTTAATGAAAAGAAGCATATTTTAAAAGGATTATCACCAGGGCCTTAAGAGTATTTCCACAGCCTACAGTCAAAAAGTGCCTCACCAGTTTTACCTAGACCTCTTTGAGATGCTTGGTTAAGTGGTATTATATAAGTGAAATAATTATTGATGCACACAAAGTAATACGCAGATCTCAAAATCTATCTTGACACAAAATAGCCCTTCTAATTAAAGTTTTTTGGACAGAAATCACTATGTGATTTAATAGAAACCAAAAAGTTTTTTTCTAGATAGCACTAATTTATACTGTCAAAATAAGCCTTTTTTTAAAAAAAATTAATTTATTTGTTTATTTTCTTTTGGGCAAATCTCGAATCAGTAGAGGGTGCTCAGTAGTTAAAGCTGAAATCTGCTTTCCAAAATAAATCCAATTTTGGCCCACAGTTTAAAATCTTCCATAAGGCTCTTTTCATCTTCACATTTGGTATGCATGATTTGTGGCCAGGCAATGTCTATTTTACCCATAGGAAAGCTATTCATAAAAACCATATCAGTAACCCAGGGTTAACAATACATACATGTTAATCAATCAGTGATTTCTCTTAATAGTGCCTCATTTCTAACAACTTGGTAAAAGCCTGGTAGACAGTTCAAGAAAGAAAAAAAAAAAAAAAAAAAAAAAAAACAAAACCAACAAAAAAACTAGAGCTTAATCCATTACCAGTTTTCCAATTCAATGTATTGTTTATATAGAAGAGAAATAAAAGAAAACAATTGTGACACTTTTTTTCTGGAAAAATAGTTACATTGATGGAAGACATATGGCTAAACAATCACTCTGCTTGTTCCTTATCAGATGTTATCCTCACTGTCCTCATTTTTAATAGTTAATTAATATACAGTAAACTCTAGAAAAATTGTTTGTTTTCTTTTTCTTGAAACGTGAGGCAGGCTTCCAGGAAAGAGTCACAATGGAGCTTTGTAAAAGCAATCTTTTTAAGGATTGATATGCAAATTAATAAAACAACCCCCTTCTCTCTCATTTTGTTTCCTCAGCAACTTCCAAAGACGCTCCTGACTCACCAATATTTTTCACATTTGTGACAGTGTAGAATTCAAGTATTTAGTCACAAATTCCAGTCACAACTGATAGAAGCAATGTCTGTTTAGAAACAACTGATAATTTCATTTTATGTAAATGATAGAAAGCACCAGAGATTGCTAGCATTGCATTAGCCAGGCAGTCTGCCCACCTGCAGTGCCTTACTAAGGCATTTCCAAGTGGATCTGGAGAAATCCCTCCGGCACAACTGTCCGTCACAGGGTTTGTCAGCGTGTAGTGCAAGCCCAGCTTGGAAAGCAGAGGATACTTCAAAGTTGCTAAGAGCTTTCTTTACACTTTCAGACAAGCACTTTATAAAGCAGTTCATTCTACCCATCTGTTAGGTGGAAAAAAGGGGGGGGGGGGGTGACTTCTGTTTCAAACGACTGGGTTTTTGCTGTTGTTGCAGTTCTTTATTTAATGCATTTTGCAGAAAGAGTGAAGTATGCCAACTTAGACTGAAACACTGAGAATTCAGACCATTAACTCCACATTCTTGCACTACAGAAGTCAAATGTTGTTTTGTATTCTCAGGATACGGTTATTTTTTAATAAAAAGGGCAAAGACTTTACAGTTGGTAAAAAAGTTTTTTATATATTTGTGTGTGTTTATATATATATAAGTTGTCTCAAAGAAATAGAAAAGAAGCTGCCAGACTTCTCCCAGCAAAATGCATAAGCAGATGTTCTCTAGAAGAGAGAGATTGTACTAAATAAGTGCAAAGTCTTCTAAAGGAGGATCTTTCTCAGATATCAGATTGCAAAAATCCTTGTTGCCACTGCTGAGATTTTTTTTTTTTAACCTATCTAAGTAAGTGTTACATGAACAGATCCAAAGTCAGGATCAATTTTTGTTACTTGTAATGCCGTCTGGTAGCAGAAGAGTCTCTTTAAAGCTTTTATTTTAGAGATGGCAGAAACTAATGCCAGAAAGAGACCCTGGTCTTCCTTCTGCCACTGCAACAATCTATGTATTTCTACATACTCACATGTCATCATGGTATGTGACACCTATCACAGCGAGCCAAAAAGGAAGGTCAGACTTCAATTTTAAAAAGCAAGATTTTAAAAGCTAAATGTTGAGCTCTGTCTCGTAACTCCACTAACTGCAGTGGAATTGCACAAAGGGTGAATCCTACCTTGTGTGACTTAATTGCAATATATTTTATGCTTATTATATACACTCATATCTTTGTCAGCAAGCCTGCTAGCAATCTGATTTGCAGCTGTGCTTTTCAGACTTTTACTGTCCTACCCTCCTGGAACCACAATCTATACATAGGAGGGAGTTTAATTATCCATAAATTAGAAAGACACCTTTTTGCCATTCCTAATAAAAACTGCATCACCTAAGGTACATAAAAAGGTTCTTTACCATATCCAGCCAATTTGGATTTAGCTATGCTTTGCAGAGTAAGAGAAAAGATTAATAAGGCCTACAAAAAGATGCATAAGCAGTGATTCCCATTTCCCCTAACTCAGACCCTACCAGTCTTACAGTCCTTCAGAATGGTGTGGACATGAGCGATGACAACATTTAGTTTTCTTTAGGCCAGAAAAATGTGAACAGGAGTTTGGTCCTGGTCACCATCCACAATGCTTAGTGATCACAAAGTTAGAGTCTTAAAGAGGAAAAAAAAGAAAATAGAAAACTAAAACCAACATACGTTCAGGTTCAGCTATTTAAATGTTGGGGCAAAAGGGAGGAGAATTATTAGGCCTGGACTTACACAGATAAGGCTTCAGCATCCTCACCATATCTCAGACTTCAGCACTAGGGAGATCTCTGGATACTGTCCCTGCATAGCTGCAAATTAGTACAAGAGCAGCACTGCATATAGCAGAGGAGTGGGAGGAGATGGATGCACTGGCAGTAAAGGAAACAGCCTTTGAGCTCAAAACCCCTTCATGCCTTCCCCCTCCATTCACTGCCTGAAGCTGTTTGAATCTGTCGGGGGAAAAAATTGCCTGACTCACTGAAAAAAAATCAGTTAACTCAATGTTTTCTTCACATATTGAAGAGAAGCCTTGGGCAGAGAGAAACTTCTAAATGCAAATCTCTGATGGTTCAGTTTTCACCGAGAGTAGAATTAATTCTGGGAGGAAGTGGTGAACTGGGAGAGCTGAAGAAGGATTATAGACTAGTTTCCTAGCTCTCCTGTCAACAGCTTCATCACTGGGGCCAGCCAGTGCCAGAGAGAGGCATGGTCACCCTCCCTTACAGACGTTCAGCAAGCCAAAAGGAAGATCAGTGACCTCGAGGAAAGGATGCATCACAGTGGTACTTCTGTGGGTTTTTTTCCCTTTCACATTTGCTTTCTTTTTCTTACTTCTTGGATTATCATTAGTTTTCATTTGGA